ACACGGACAGCAAGCTCAAGCTAAAGATAGAATGAAAACCACAACCCTGTGATTTGGGCATATATATATATATATATATATATATATATATATATATATAGGAAACGGGTGGTCTCCCCTTTCCCCAAATGGAATCTCTGTAGATTCCCACGTGTTACCATGTGTATCAGTGACAATTTTGGTGTTTAATTGGTCAATTTTTAAGAAATCAACAAATTGATCAAAAAATGATTATTAAAATCAACTTTAAATATAACTTTTTAGGTAAATTATATATATATATATAAGGAAAGGGGTGGTCTCCCCTTGAAATCAACCCCTATTGTCCTGAGCATGGATTTCAAAACCAAACCAGACCAGACGATTGGCCCGAAAAAATCGAGAAGGTGATCGGTTCCATTTTACCCTAGAACCGTTATTTTCCCTCAAAATCATTGATTTGGCAGGAAACCGCTGACCCGAGCGGCCGAACTATTTGAACCATTCAATGGTTTGGATGGTTTTTACTTTTTAACAATTTTTAATTTTTTGTCAGAATGGACCGTCCATTTGATTCGAACGGTTGAATCGTTCGACCTAGGAATCGAACCCCTGACCAGTTCGTTATCGGATCCGTTTTAAAAACCTTGGTCCTGAGTTCGGCTTCAGTCACCATTCGAGCAACCTTTTTCTTCATGAATGACACGTGGATAAATAAAGTAATTTCCTTGTATCTCTCATCCTTCCCATTTACACTCAAGCTCAGATTTCTTGATTTCTTTCTTATATCTATCATCTCTCCCCATTTACACTCAAGCTCGGTTTTGGTCACTTTTCGAACCAGTGGCTTTTCGATGGCAGTAGATTCCCCTCCTCTCCGTCTCTCACCTTTCTCAAATAATTTTTCTCTCAGGCTCTCCAAATTGGTAGTGTAGAGCCACGTGCTTGTGCTTTGCTTGTGCAATGGAAAAACTCATTACATGTCACGACATGTGTCTATACTTCCTGTCTCCTTCCTCACTCCAAGCACTTCCATCTCTTTCCATCTAATCCTAAACCTTCATGTTTTTGCCTTTCACGCATGCTTCTCTTCCATTCCCACTGTCATCTTCCATCTGCAGAAACAACACCATTGAGAGCTTCCATAAAATGTTTTCTTATCTTTCTTTCCCTCTATCTCCTCCATCAAGACAACATGCCAAGAGCTTTCTTCAGGTTCAATTTGCAAGGGTTTGGAGCACAGGTATGCATCTATTTCTTTCTTATTTCTTTTTCTTCTTCTACCCTATGGCAAAAACAGGGTATCTACCCATCTTCTTCTTCTTCTTCTTTACTAAGCTGAAATTTCCTTCTTTTTAACTGTTAAAAGCTCCCCCAACTTGAAGGTGGATGCTCGCTGTCCGAGTTCCAAAACGATAAAGATGCAATTAAGTAACCAGGAGACTTGTTCAAGCAAAGAACAAGATGACATATTGTTGGTTTTAGATATTGTTTGGTTTGAATCAATTATTGAGAAACTTGACTTCAAAAAAGAGGAATACAGAATGCTGGTCACATCTAGAACCGAATTTAACTCATTTAGGAGTTAGGACCACATATTTTTTTGAAGATGTTGAAAGACAAAGATGCCATGATTCTATTTTCCACATATGTGGATCATTTGCACTAGCATATAACTTTTGCACTTGTCTCCCAAATACATTAATACAAGTATGTCTTTACACACAAAGTGCATGAATTATTGATCAAGAAAAATAGGACGACCAGTTCAAGAATATATAGTTTCTAGAAAGAGGGGTAACATTGTTTACTGCATTTATCCATTTATCCTATTTTCATGACATGGCATTAGTGGGTATTGCACTGACTAAAGCCGATCTCCGTGCCAAGCATGGCTCACACTTTGTGTCGAACTGGGCCTTATGTGCAGTTGGGTTCCATTTAGGGTTATGAATAACATCAAATAAGAGGAAGAGCAAAGAGATCTCTTCTTTTTACAAACAAAATCAAACCTTTCATCTCTAGTCCATCATCGCTTACTGATAGGATTGGCAATATTTGACATAACAAGTGAATACGATTGAATATAATACGAAATTAATAAGTTTGGATTTACCTTAATCAAGTTTATGTCAAAATCATGTCAACCCATTTAACACGATTAATAAATATGTCAATTTCAGATTAACCCCCTTAAATTGAAAATGATTTGTTAATGATTTGATGTTTAAGTATTAGATCATGTACATAGGGGTGTTAATAGTGTTCGAAAAATTGATTTTGAATTTGATATTCGACATAATCGAATCGAATTCAGATATGACCTGATTCAGTTTGATAAATATCCGAATTCAACCGATTATTTAATTATATATATAATGAATAAAATATTTATTTTATACATTTATTAATTATTTAAAGTAATTAATCAGCCAAATCCAAATCGAATCCAATATTTGAATATTTAATTGAATTCAAATTCAAAAATTGGTTTTTAATATATGTCGGGTATCAGATTTTCTAGTTGGATTTGAATTAGGATATTGCTTGATTCTATTCAGATTTGATCTATTTGCATCCACACATGTACGTATATTTGGATGAAATATATATGACATAGAATGGTTTTTATGAAGTTGTTTATGTAATGAATGGTTGAATGTTTATTTAATTATTTAAATCCATTTATTATTTAATTTAAATAGATTAATCGTGTTAATTTTGTGTTAATTCAAATTACGCAGGTCATATAGGTCATATTCATATTTAAAAATTTAACACAATTAATAAATCATATAGTGTTCATGTCGACCCATCTGAATACTCCTATCTCAATACAACACGAGAATACGAATGATCACCCTTACCCAATGGTCCACATAGACTCAATTCAACATTAGTTAAGGTATGATAGAAATATGGTAGGGTATTTGGAAGAGGGTGGAATGAATCAATTTTGAACATGTATGTTTAAAGTGAGCTTAAATCTTTAAATTAAACAGATATTACATGTGAGGGAAGAGGTCACTGGATGGAAAAATAGAGAGTAATAAAAATAAATAAAAGAGAGCAAAAAGTGGTTTTCTCTTTGATTGATGAAAGAAAAAAAA